CAGTCTCCCGGAGCCCACTCCCTCCTCCACGCCCGCCATGTTGCCCGAGAGCGCGAGGGAGTGAGACCCAGCGGCGAGAGCCCGCTCCTTCTTCACCCACCTACACCCGCGACGCCGGAAGCTGCTCTCGGTGGTAGGGGCGCAGGGAATTCTGGGACCGCGGAGGACTCGCCTGCGGGTGCCCAGCACGCGTCTGTGCCTGGAGCCGGGCTGGGGCGGGCCAGCTGCGGTCAGACTCGTCAGACTCGCCTGCAACTTCGTCCGGGGCCCCGGACGTCCCCGGGGCAAACCTGCCCGCGCCTAGTCAAGTTTAAAAGGGATCTTCAGCTCCAGAGTGAGGTGGAGGCGCCTTGCCTGCCGGGTGAGGAGAGGCAGGCTGCAAGGGGGAGGGGCTTCTTTGCCATATTAGAATTGATAAGTTTTATAAATTGCGTAGGAACCGGAGAGAGGGCCTAAAAGAATCTGTGCCCTTGAACACATGCCCTTTTCATGATTCAAAGGACTGCCTTGATGTGCACGATCGCCGCTCACGGCGAGGCTGTTTTGGCACTTGAGATAATCTTGGAAGCTGGAATTCCTTATTAGTGTCAGAAACTCTAAACCCGGGACTGTTTAAGTTGGGATCACGTCATCGTCCTCCCATTTGCTAGTTCTTGACACCCGGGGACAGGCAGCCTCTCCAATTAATACAAAAGCTCACACTCCAAATTCTATATTTCTGGGCACCTTTCTTTTTAGATGGAGTATGTTTCACCAGAATGTAATTGAATTTTGCCCATTTCTTTTCCTCTGCCTTTCATACCAGTCTCCTCATGAAACTGCAGTTTGAGATTGGATTTGTGGCCCATGTGGATTATAATTGGCTGTTTGAAGGAACCCCTTAATTTCTCCTGTATATGGCTCTTTGTCCAAGAGAGTTTAGGTATTTTCATTAGTTTTCAACCTGGGACTAAGCTTCATTGGCGTCAAAATGTCTTCAATGTCTTCTGTTCTTGCTAATAGTTTTACAATAAATCTTGAACAGACTCAGACCACAATGGCATGAACGTATAGTATCTGTCTTAAAGGTTAAGGCAGCTTCTATCCAATCCTCTAAAAACTACTCATGCATTTACACATCTTTCTCTTTCTAAATATACCTTTATTTTGATTTCTTAATTGCTTTCTCTGGTTAATGGATAGTAATATAAAAGATGATGAAGCAGCCCAGCGATGGTGGTGGTGCAACAGGTTGCACAACTGCTCTGCAAGGCTGGAAGCCATATGGAAGACTGAGGTTGGGTTCCTGATGGATTTGTACACTGGAGGCACAGGTGCCAGTGAGCCTGACTGGCTGAAAAGCTTGAGGATGGGGAGAGTCACAGTATGAGCCCCTGTTGAGGATGCTTGTCTCTGTCTCACTCTCATGAAAAAACAAAAATAAAAAACAAGCAAACTTTAAGGGAAAAAAACGTTGATGAGCCAGACAAAATACAAAAACTAAAAAACTAAAAAAAAAACAAACAAAAAACAAACAAAAAAAACAAACAAAACCCTAGAAGTACCTTGCATTTATCTAAAACCTTTGAAATGCCCAGCATAAACCAGCCTGGTTCTCTAGTCTCTCAACTCTCCCTAGCTCCAGCTCTCAAAATTCTTTCTCACCTTGGAGCATTTCATACTCACTGTTCTATTTGGGCTGCTCTTTGCCTGACTAATATATTCACTCAATCATTTATTCATTCATCAGTGTTTTTACTCAATGCTTTGTATGTGCCCAAATATGGCGATATAGAGAATAAAAACAGATATAATCCTCGTCGTCATAGAGTTGATTAACACAAATAGACATTAATCAGTGATGTTAATAAAAGTAAATTAGGGACCAGCAGATGACATAATGGCTACATCCCTGGACTCCCATGTAGTCGGCCATGGTTTGAGTCTTGGACCCAGTGGCTTAAATTCAAGCTGGGCACGTGTGCATGTGTGCCCAAGACCTGAAGAGGAGAATGGAGGAGAAAGGATTGAGGCATAGTCATCCTCCCTGGGGGGTGATTTCTCACTTTCTGTCTCTCTCTGTCTTTCTGGCAAGCATGCACGCCCTATAACAAAAACCTCTCCAAAAAAAGTAAATTTATAACTAGTAATATAAGAGCACATTACAAGGAGATTTGCCTAGATTTGCTTTGTCCAGTAAAGCTTCCCTGATGAGGATCATAAGTTTGATGTACACCAAGCTGAGTCTGAGATATCTTGGGGCATTCAAAAGATATCAAGAAGGCAGATGACTGTAGAGACTGAAGCTCAGAAGAGAAGTTGGGCCTAGGTATAAAAATTTGAGTCATCAGCTAATAGATAGGAACTGGATTGTTTACAGGCATAAGACTGAGACAGCAAAAGGAACATTCTAACACCTATAATAAAACAATAAAATTTGACACAGCAAGAGATGGCTGAAAGACTGGATCTGAACCAGTTGGAACCAAGATGGCACCTGGAACAACTGCCACCTAACCTTCAAACTCACGATACCCTCACTGAACTTTATTAGCACCAGGACAGTTTACAGTAACTATGACCATGACTGGAACTGCTCTAGTAAGACCAGAAAATGGGGGAGGCAGTAGTTCCAGGAAAACCACTACCCCTTCCACAGGAAAGTCATGAATAAACCACCCCTTACTTAGCCTGGCGCTAGGCCACACCATATAAGCCAATCAATGCACTGAAGTTCAGGGCTAGGGGCTAGCCTTTCTCTCTTACCTTTTGGCTATCAGTTCTTCCCTTTCTCTTGAGGAAGGGATGAAACTGTTCACCCATCTCGCCTCATGGGGCTGCTCTATCTATGGAGTGATCAGGTTTGTATACTTTCCTTAATGAACTTGCTTTCACTCTCAAAGGCTCGCTCTTGAATACTTCCCTTCACAAAGCCAAGGACTCTCCCACACAGGTGGGAAATCTCCCACTAGTTGAGTTTCCCCAGTAACAAGACAACCTACGAAGTAGATCTAGGCTCAAGAGTCTGTCCTTCCTGGTCCAGCAGGTGGCGTGGTGGTTAAGGCACTGGATATTCCCACTTGGTCCACCACAGTACAAGTCCTAGATCTGGTGGCTTGTTTTTTCACTTTCCTTCTTTCTCTCTCTGTCTCTCTCTCTCTCTAGTCAAATTAAAATAAACGAATGAGGGACCAGCAGTTAGCACAATGGCTATGTCACTGAACTCCCATGTAGCTGACCGCAGTTTGAGTCCTGGACCCAGTGACTTAAACTCACGCCGGGAATGTGTGTGTGTGCATGCCCAAGATTCCAAGAGGAGAATGGAGGATTGCCGTGTGGCCATCCCCCCTGGGGGGTGATTTCTTGCTTTTTATCTCTCTGTCTCTGTCTCTCTGGTGAGCGCACGTGCCCTATAACAACAACAACAAAAATGCCTGCTAGCCCCACTAATACTTTTCTTATGTCATCTATTACTTATTTTCTCTTACACAGCTGGGGATTTTTCAAAGGTTCAAAAGATCTTCAGATTTGAGACAAGGATGTGACTGGGTGACCGTAGGAAGAACCATAGCTTACACTTGTTGGTGCTAAAGTTACTACCAGAAGCTTTCTTTCTTTTGAATTTAAAGAATTATTTATTTTATTATGATTACTTTTTTAAAAATACAATGGAATCTTTATTTTTTATTCTTTTAAAAATTTTGTTTTTAATTAATTAATTTACATTCATTCACTGAGCATTGTCACAGCATACAAAATGTGATCTCCCATCCAAAATATGCTGCATAGTAGCTTAATCATACATGTTATCATCAATAATTTTCCATTTCTAGTTTCATATGTATATATATGTGTGTGTGTGTATCTATATATTTTTTTTCCTCCTATTTCTCACCCTTTGCCATTTCCCATCCTCCTCCCACACTATCTCAGGTGTCCACAGTTGCTTTCCATTCCTTTTTTCCCCCATATTTTATTGATTCACAAAATTTCTTAAATAATCAGTAGTAAGCTCTGCTGATATATACATATCTATGAATACATGTCTGACTTTAGGCATAAAACTCTGAGTAGAATGAATATACTATAAGGCAGCACCTAGCTGATGGTATATCATTTACTATGGTCATTAATTATGTATTTTTTAATATTTTTTAATTTCAAGAAAAACAGATTTAGCTTTAATAAATCAAAGAAATGCTAAGGAAATATGCTTAAAACTTAAAGCCGGGAAACAAGATTCTGTTCAAATAGTAGGTACATGAACCTATCGGCAACTCAAGACAGGACAAAAATCCTTAAAACCAGAAAACAAAGCCTATAAGGAAATGAGCAATGTTTTAGCCAAAAGTCATAAAATTTGATTTCACCAATCCAGTCTCATGTACTTAATCTATCTTCTGTTGTGGTCCAATCTTCCCTATAACTTCTGGGATATAATATTCAACTCCAGACTTGTCCCCTTGATTAAGTTGGCCATTTTCTTAGTTTTGAACTCTTACTTCTGTGTGACTATATTTAATTTTCCTGGTATAGCACTCCCTGCAGAACTTCTTGGAGATCTGGTATGGTGTTGGTAAATTCTTTAAGGTTTTGTTTATCTGAGAATGTTCTTGTCTTTTCTTCCCATATGAAGGATAATCTTGCCGGGTATAGTATTCTTAGTGTCTCAGGGGAGGGCCGGCTGAAGGCACTCAACACCTGTGTGTCACATATCTGTGCTGTCCTCATCTTCTACGTGCCACTCATTGGAGTGTCAGTCATTCATCGCTTTGGAAAGCACTTATCACCACTGACTCATGCTCTTATGGCCAATGCCTACCTCCTCGTACCTCCTGTGCTAAACCCCATAGTCTATACCGTGAAGACCAAGGAGATACGAAGGAAGATCATCCAGATATTTGTTCGAACTAAGATTGCTGCAGAGAGTTAGTGTCTGCCAATTAGAAAGGGGAAAGATCAATTATGTAAAAACACAATCCTGATCATGAAAAATAAAGTTTTTTTTTTTTATTTTTTACAGTTTCGGTGTGATTTAAGTTGGGCAAAGAAATATTTCCTTGCTCACAGAGAATAGTTTATTTTCCCTGTTGCAAATTGTCCTTTGAATGATATGAAATAAATAGTATCTATAAGGCTGTCTAATGTACTGTACTGTCATAAATGGCTGAAAAAGAAATTATTACTAATTGTACTTCAAAAAAATAACTCCTTTGAACAGAAATAAAATTTATTAAATTAATGTAATTTGACATTCTAGTCCAAGAATTAAGAGAGACCTCCATGAGCCTATTAGAGGAGAAGCTATACTAAAGAAATAATGAGAACTTCTGGAGAGAATACATTAATAAAATAAAGTAGGAATCAGAAAAATGATGTAATTTAGAATTAAAAATATATATGTATGCAAATGAACAAGGGCCAGCTATACTGCATAACTTGGGATCCAGAGATGGTGAATTTTTGGTCTGTTACATGAGAACTGGTTGGCATAGGGCAGTCTCTTAATCTCTCTAAGCCACAATTTCTTACTTTTTTTTTTTTTTTTAATGGAGAGGTTTTCGCTATAGGGCGCGTGTGCTCGCCAGACAGACCAAGAGAGACATACAGACAGAAAGCGAGAAATCACCCCCCAGGGGGGATGGCCACGTCGCAATTCCTTCTCCTCCATTCTCCTCTCGGGATCTTGGGCACGCACGTACACGCGCCCGGTATGAGTTTTAAGCCACTGGGTCTGGGATGCAACCGCAGTCGACTACGTGGGAGTCCAGCGACATAGCCATTACGCTAACTGCTGGTTCCCCGTTTCTTCTAATTCTTGAAGTTCAATCTGAGTGTTCAGAGGCATGCAGGAGGAGGTGAACTGCAATCTCTCTTCTGTTCCATTTTTTACTCTTTGTGCATCAGAATCAGTGAGAATAGAGGAATATTCTGACCCTAATTGTATTCAGATGTTTAGATCCTGTTCACTTGGACCTGTTTAGACACTTAGTGTGTAAGAGTAGAAATAAATGAGGAAAAAGTCTCAGCATAAAATCTTCATTTAAGTCTCTGAAAGCAATACTTCACAGCTGAAATTCAGGATCCATGTCATGATTACTTTTTTTTTTTCAATTTGACCAAAGAAAGAAAGGGAGAGAAAGAAGGAAAGTGAAAAACCATGCCCCCATGTCCAGGAGTTAAGTCGTGGTCAGCCTTGTGGGATTCCAGTGCCTTAACCATCGTGCCACCTGCCAGCCCCATTACCATAAGCTTTATTAACATCTCATAAGTAACATCTGCTACATCAAAAATACCATCAAGCTTTATTGTGAGTCTTCACAGGTCCTCTCCAAGTTCTGGAAACACTTAAACCATGACTACTATGCAAAGCCATCTTAGGAGACACAGGATCATGAGGGACAGGACCTATAGTGTTTTGAGAGTGAAGGTTTTTTTAAAAGAATTTTGTATTTAATTTGTATTTATTATTACTATTACTTTCAGTTTGACCAGAGACACAGAGAGATTCAAAAACTGAGAAAGCAGTCTGCTAGGTCTTGGACTTGAACCATGGTCAGCTATGTGGGAGTTCAGTGACTTAACACTGCACCACACCAACCCCCAAAAAATAAGTTTTGACAAAAAGTACTTGGAGTATAATTTGATCTCCAAAATTATCAATCCCAAAATGAGATTTGTTAAGTAGGAAAAAAATAAGATGCTAAAATGCAATGACATATCAAAATATTATTTATCCCCTACAAAGGAATTGTTCTCTACCTCCTTTCACCCTTTTTTCCCCTAAAAAGTGTGAAAATAATAATTTTTTTTTTTAGAGAGATTTTTGCTAAAGGGCACATGCAGAAAGACAAAAAAACTAGAAATCACACCCCAGGGGCAATTGTCATGCCACAATCTCTTCACCTCTATTCCTCTCTCAGGATTTTTGGGTACACACACATACACACACACACACATCCAGCTTGTGTTTTAAGCTACTGGGTCCAGGACTAGAACTGCAGTTGACTACATGGGAGCCCAGTGACATAACCATTATGCCATCTGCTGGTCCCAGCAATGACATTTTTAAGTGATGGTGAAAACAATACACATCTCAACAATATGATGATGAAGATTATGTTGGATGATGATTTTTTCGGTACACTCCAGAGTTTGAGGTAACTAAAGGAGACTTAAAATAGCAGCTCATGACACACCTCCCTATTTTCATCCTTTGGTTTAACTACAAAAAGAAATTGAGAAATCTTGAAAAGGAATGAGAAATCTTGAAAATCTAAGAAATGTAAGAAAATCTGTAATCAAAAAGAAAAATTAACTCAATACCAGAGTAGGCTATTTTTTTTCCCCTTAGAGAAGTACTTGTCCTGTTATAAAATCAATATATTCTGGGGCCAGTAAGTAGCATGATGGTTAAGATGACTGGAACCCACATGGCCAACTACACAGTTCAAGTCTTGGTCTTGGCAGCTTGCAAAACATGCCAGGTATGTGTTTGTACCCAAAATCCCAAGGGATTACAGAATGGTCATCCCCTTGGAAGATGTTTTTTTACTTTCTTGCTTTCTCTCTGTCTCTCTCCTGTGAGCACACATACCCTATAGCAATTTAAAAAGAGAGAAAGAGGGGACTGGCAGTTAGCATAATGGCGATGTCACTGGACTACCATGTGGTCGACCATGATTTGAGTCCCAGACCCAGTGGCTTAAACTCACGCTGGGCACGTGTGCGTGCATGCATGCCCAAGATCCCAAGAGGAGAATGAAGGAGAAAGGATTGCAGTGTGGCCATACCCCAGGGGGAGATTTCTCGCTTTCTGTCTCTCTGTCTCTGTCTTTCTGGCGAGTGCATGCACCCTATAGCAAAAACCTCTTTAGAGAGAGAGAGAGAAGAAATGGGCATAAAACTGTGGCACATATATACTATACAATACTACTCTGTCATAAGGAAAAATGAGACCCTACCTTTTGACTTAAAGTGGATGAATATAAACAATTTAATGCTAAGCAAAAAAATCCCAGACTGTGAAAGACAAAAAAAGTGAAACTATGAAAGACAAACACTGTATATCCCTGCTTAATATATACACGGAATGTTTACACTCTATGGCAGAAATTTAAAAAAAACTTAAAGAGAGATATATGCTATAAGGCACATGCACTCACCAGAGAGAGAAAGACGTGAGAAAGCACATCCCAGAGGGGATGGCCATGCCATAGTCCCTTCTCCTTCATTCTCCTCTCAGGATTTTGGGCATGCACACACACGTGTTTGGCATGAGTTTTAAACTGCTGGGTCCAGGATGTGACCCACAGTGGACTACATGGGTGTCCAGAGATGTAACCATTATGTCATCTGCTGGTCTCTATGGCAAAAATCGGAAGACCTGAAGATATAATAGTAAGGAGGACAAGTGTAACCACCAGAAACTATATGGGAAAAGAGTGGACAGGAGAGAGTGGTTGGAGGGGCTCAGGGAAAAAACTCTTATCAGATTCAAGACCGTAAAAGTTCTCTGTTGAAAATGATGGTTACGGTAATGTCCTTGATTTGAGTGTCCCATACTGCATACATACCTTGACTGTCGCATACGGCATACATACCTGCACATTATGTGCTATAGAGATATACAATGATTGAATGTAAATAACGAATCAATCATAAAATAAGAGAAGAATAAATGGGCATAATCAGCAAAGAATTAGGAAGACTTCACTGCATTTAAAAGAAGAGACATGAGGGCCAGCAGGTGGCATGGTGGTTAAGGCAGCTGAACTCCCACATAGCTGACCACAGTTCCAGTTCCAAACCTGACAGCTTGCTTTCTCACTTTCCTTCTCTCTCTCTGTCTCTTTCTGGTCAACCTCCTAAAAATAAAATTAAAATAATGACACAATGAATAAAGTTAAATAAAAATAAATCTTAAAAAATAGAAGAGACATGGATTCTATTTTAGAGTGGTCATTTAGCTATAGCTTTATATCTCTGAAAAGTCATGTCACCATTTTTTTTCTTTGTTTATTATAGGTCAAATGTGTGCCTGAGAGAGAGTGAGATGGAGGAAAAGAAAGAGAATGCTCCCTCCACAGAATCTGGTCATATTATGACCTTCCTTTTCCAGTCCTTTAGCCCATTGGATACTGGCACTTATGCAAGTGCCTGTTGTATTTCAGGCTAACTAAGCTGGGAATTGGAGCTGCCATGTGGGATCTGGCATCTCTTGAGAAGAGCAGGACCACTAAGCCACAGTGAGTATAATGCTTTCTATATTAAAAAATAGACAGACTTTTAAAAAAAGTTAAACAGAATTTCTAAAAGGAATTATTTATTTTGGGACCAGTAGATGGCTTAATGCTTTCTTCATTGGACTCCCACATGGTCAACTGCAGTTGAGTCCCAGACACAGACACTTGAAACTCACAACAGGCACATGTGTGTGCATGCCCTATAACAAAAAATGTCTCTTAAAAAAAAAGAAAAAGAATTGTTTATTTAATTTTAACTATTATTAATATATTTTTTAATTTGCCTTAGGGCACATTTGCTCAAGAGAGAGAGGGAAAGTGAGAAAACAAGTTGCCAGGTCCAGGACCCGAACCAGTTGACCATGTGGACATCCAGCACACCATACCACTTTCTAGCCCCTTAACAGACTTTTTACATTACTACTATGAAATGACAGTGAGAGTAGATGATGATGATTTTTTGTACTTTCACAAGAAAAAAATAAAAAAAGAGAGAGAGAGATAACATTGTCAGTTCTCAAAATCATTTTTAACTTTCTCAACAGTGACATCTCCAGGTCTGATAGTTTCAGTTCTAAAGAAAGAATTGGAAATGGAAGGGCCTGGTGGTAGAGGAGAACTTCTGTTATTGCTGATCACAATAGTGATGAGAATTTATGTGTTAACTATGGTAGGGGGCCCAGAGAGGAGAAACTGGGTTTCAGAAATATTTATAGAGTTAAGGAAACTTAATGGCCCATTGAATGTTGCAGTAGAGGAGGCAAGGATGATACCCAGGTTTCTGGCTTGGTTCCTAGGTGGAGAGTGGGGTACCACTCCCTGAGATAGGAAATGAAGGAGGAGTAGGCTTGGAAGAGGTGGGGGGGAAGATAAGCTTTAAGGCTTCTAAGTTGAGTTGCCTCCAGGGTATGCAGGCAAAGATATCAATAGTCAGTTAGAATATGATATTCAGAGATACAGACACGGGAGTCATTAAGGGCCTAGACTTGGCAGAAGACTGTGGCTGGGGTATTTCAGGGAAGAGAGAAAAAGACCAAAGACAAAACACAACTTAGGAGGAGATTGATGTTTTGGGGATTTCGTTTGTTTGTGGGGAGGATGAGACAATCCATTAAGGAGACTACAAAGGAATGGTAAGACAAGAAGGAGAAAATGCTTTGGAGAATAATACGACAGTAAGGAGAGAGGGGCCAGCAGGTGGTGTGGTGGCTGAGGCTCTGAACTCCCACATGGCCAACCTCAGTTTGAGTCCCAGACTTAGTGGCTTGCTTTCTCACTTCTCATCTCTCTCTCTCTCTCTGTCTCTCTCTGGTGAGCACGTATGCCCTATAGAAAATTTTAAAACATAATAATAATAATAATAATAATAATAATAATAATAAAACTAAGTAAATAATTCTTTGTGGGAAGCTGCGCACCAGCGAGTCTGCCAAGGTTTCTCAGAGAGCAAAC